AATAGTATTCCATAGAGTATATGTGCCACACTTTTTCAGTCCATTCTTCTATTCATGGACATTTGGGTTGGTTCTATGTCTTAGCAATTGTGAATAATGCCATAATAAACATATATTTGCAAGCACTTTTTCAACTAAGCGTTCTTCTGTCCTTTGGGTAGATTCCAAGGAGTAGGACTACTGGATCATATGATAATTCTGCTTGTAGATCTTTGAGGAATCTCCATATTGTTCTCCACAGTGGCTGGACCAATTTACATTCCCACCATTAATGTAGGAGAGTTCCCCTTTCACCACATCCATGCCAGCATTTATCATTTATAGTTTTTTTGATCTTAGTCATTCTGACTGGAGTTAGGTGATATCTCATTGTGGTTTTGATCTGCATCTCTCTTATGATGAGAGACATTGAGCATTTTTCCATATGCCTTTTGACTATTTGTATGTCTTCCTTAGAGAGATGTTTTTATCAGTTTATTTTCCCATCTTTTATTTGGATTAGTAATTTTTTTTCAGGTAAGCCAGTTAAGTTCCCTGTTTATTCTTTTTATCAGTCTCTTATCTGAAGCATAATTTATAAAAATATTCTCCCGTTTTGAGGACTGTTGATTCACACTAATTACTGTGTTTTTTGCCATGCAGAAACTTCTTATTCTGATATAATCCCACTTGTCCATTTTCGGGATTATTGACTGTGCTTTGGGGTTTTATTTAATAAGTCTTTGCCTACTCTGATGTCTCTCAGAGTTTCCCCAGTGTTTTCCAGTGGTAGTTTTATAGTTTGAGGTCTTAGGTTTAGATCTTTGATACACTTTGAGTTGATTTTTGTTAATGGTGAGAGGTAGGGGTTCAGATTCATCTTTCTGCAGATGGAAACCCAGTGTTTCCAGCACCATTTGCTAAAGAGGTTTTCCTTTTCCCAGTGGATTGACTGGTACCCTTTTCAAAAATCAATTAGCGGTATGTTTTGGGGTTTATTTCCGAGGTCTCTATTCCGTTTCATTGGGCCACCTGTCTGTTTTTGTGCCAGTACCATGCTGTTTTGAGTATTACAGCTTTATAGTATTTATTTATTGGGATCAGGGAGTGAGATGCTGCCCACTCCACTCTTCTTGCGCAGGATGGCTTTTGTAATACGAGGTCTTTTATGATTACAGACAAATTCTATTATTGTCTTTTCTAGGTCTGTGAAAAATGTCTTTGGTACTTTGGGATTGCGTTAAGTATGTAGATTAATATGGGTAGAATTGTCATTTTGATTACATTAATTCGTCTGATCCAAGAACATGGGATGTCCTTCCACTTTTTTGTGTCATTTTCAATTTCTTTTTCTAGTTTCTTATAGTTTTGCTTGTGGAGGTCTTTGACTTCTTTGGTTAGATATATTCCTAGGTATCTTATACTTTTTGTGGCTATAGTAAATGGAATTACTTTCTGTTCTCTTCAGTTCTATCTCCATCTGCTTGCTGTTCATATATAGAAATGCTATAGATTTCTGAATGTTGATTCTGTATCCTTTATGCATAATATCTAATTATCTACATTATAAAACTGATTCTCTTGTGTTTACAAAATTCTTTTTTTTCCCTGTTTTGCCTCAAATCTCTAAATTTTCTAGAAGATAAGGAAGCTGCTTCTCAAGAAGTTGTGTCTGACTATGATAAAAATCAACAATTCATTTCTTCTACCTCAGGTATTATTTTCTTCTTGCACCCTATGGCAAAAACCTAAGTAAATGAATATATATATGCATATATATACATATACATGTGTGTATGTGTATATATGTGTGTGTGTGTATATATATATATGTATATATATAAAATAAAATATAAAAATTTTTAAGTGGTTAAAATTTAGCTATGGATTTGATGAATATACAAAAACTACTGAATGGTACCCTTTTAAAGACTATGAATTATATCTCAATAAGGAGGTTAGTAAAAATAAATAAATCACAAGAAACTGTCAAATGTGAAGTAAATTTAGTTAATTTCCTAAAACTTGAGGGGCCAGCAAGTGGCGTGGTGGCTAGGGGCGTTGGACATCTACATGGGTTACTGTGGTTCGAGCCCTAGACCTGGTGGCTTGCTTTCTCAGTTTCTCTTTCTCTCTCTTACTCCCTCTCTCTCTCTCTCTCTCTGGCTCTGTCCCTCTCTGGTCAAATTATAACTAACTAAATAAAGTTAGTAAAATAATTCTTCAAAAAATTTCCTTGGGACCAGCAGTTAGCATAATGGCTAAGTCGCTGGACTCCCACGTAGTCAACCGCGGTTCACGTCACGTACTCAGTGGCTTAAAACTCACGCTGGGCGGGGAACCAGCAGTTAGCGTAATGGCTATGTCGCTGGACTCGCACTTAGTCGACCGCAGTTTGCGTCCCGGACCCGGTGGCTTAAAACTCATGCCGGGCATGTGTGCGTGCGTGCCCAAGATCCGGAGAGGAGAATGGAAGAGAAGGGATTGTGGCGTGACCATCCTCCCTGGAGGGTGATTTCTCGCTTTCTGTCTCTATGTCTCTCTCTGTTTGTCTGGTGAGCGCACATGCCCTATAGCAAAAACCTCCCCC